TTTATTTTTAACGCTCAGGGCAGCAGGAAGAATCCTCTCTCATATGCTTTCTTGGTTTTTCTCTTTAGCAAAGATGTTAAATTTTGATTCATTCAGATAATCTTTAATTTATGTTTTGATTAGTTCCTAATATTTTGACATTGCCTGTAATGCTCTCGTCTTATTCTTTTAGTTTTCCTTCTGAATTCCGTACATTGAAAAAAACTTCTTTTTTCTCTCTACTGATTTAGAAAGTGGAAAGTTTCTGGTCTTTGACAAGTTCCCTTAAATTACACACACACACACACACACACACAGTTTTTGCCATGCCCAAAATTATTGTTTAACATTTTTCTGGAGCCAGCGCTGTGGCATACCAGGTAAAAGCCACTGCATGCAGTGCCGGCATCCCAAATGGGTTCCGGTTCTAGTCCTGGCTGCTCCATTTCTGATCCAGCTCTCTGCTTATGGCCTGGGAAAGCAGTAGAAGATGGCCCAAGTCCTTGGACCCTGCACCCACGTGGGAGATCCAGAAGAAGCTCCTGGCTCCTGGCTTCGAATCGGCGCAGCTCCAGGCTTTGTGACCAATTGGGGAGTGAACTTGTGGATGGAAGACCTCTCTCTCTGCCTCTCCTTCTCTCTCTGTATAACTCTGACTTTCAAATAAATAAATAAATCTTTAAAAAATTTTTTTCCTTGTGTTTCTTATATCTTTTTTGGTTGTACGTTTCCTCTTGCTGATTATCTATATTTAGAATCACCTCAGTGGCTCATCAGATAAAAGCACATACCAGTTATTCACCAAGACACTAGTTTCAGAGGGCATTTATAAAATGAGAAGAAAAACTAAAGTTCCAGTGCTTATTAAGAAAAACAATAAAGAAAGAAAGAAACCATCCAACACAGTAAGAAGAACATGAATTCATCTCCTTTTCCTTAGAGCCTCCATCTTTGATTTTCCCTCTGGCTGCGATGATTTTTACCTATGAATTTCCTCCTCTTCCCTGTTCCCTGACAATCATAGGCTTGTTTGAATAAAGAGGAATGCACTATAAGACTTGTTGAAGTGTCATATTTCATGTTTTTTTTTTTAAAAAAAAAACAACAGGGGCCAGTGCTGTGGCGTAGTAGGCTAAGCTACCACCTGCAGTGCCTTCATCCCATATGAGCACCAGTTCATGTCCCAGCTGCTCCTCTTCCAATCCAGCTCTCTGCTGAGGCCTGGGAAAGCAGTAGAAGATGGCCCAAGCCCTGGAGCCCCTCCACCCACATGGAAAACCTGGAGGAAGCTGCTGGCTCCTGGCTTCTGATCAGTGCAGCTCCATTCATTGTGGCCAGTTGGGGAGTGAACCAGCAGATGGAAGACCTCCCTCATCTTCCCCCTCCCCCTCCCCCTCCCATGTATAACTCTGACTTTCAAAGTAAATAAATAAATCTTTTTTTAAAAAAAGTGGAAGAGAAATAAAAACTTAAAAAAAAGATAACAGAGTGTGTTCATCAGTAAAGATGAAGTTATAGAAACTGAAATCTATCCATAATATGATACAATGCAGTAGAAAGATCTATATGTATTGTGGACATGGCATATGGGATCTATTATTGAGTTTATAAAGCAAATTATAGAAAAATATGCATAAGTCCATAATTTTCATTAAGTAAACAATAAATATATGCAATCTTTGGTTTCATGTTTGGTGTATGTATAAAAATCTTGAGTGAAGCACCTGGAAACACCACTTCCAAACTGATTAAGATGAGTAAATAGGCTAATGGATGAATTGGGTGATGGACAATGAAAAGACCAGAACTGGGAATGATTGTCAAGGAGGATTTTAGTCTGCACGTAGTTTTACTTTTAATAATTCATACATTCTGGCCGGCGCCATGGCTCAATAGGCTAATCCTCTGCCTGCGGCGCTGGCACACCGGGTTCTATTCCCGGTCGGGGCGCCGGTTTCTGTCCCGGTTGCCCCTCTTCCAGGTCAGCTCTCTGCTGTGGCCCGGGAGTGTAGTGGAGGATGGCCCAAGTGCTTGGGCCCTGCACCCCATGGGAGACCAGGAGAAGCACCTGGCTCCCGGCTTCAGATCAGTGCGGTATGCCGGCCGCAGCACGCCGGCCGGGGCGGCCATTGGAAGGTGAACCAATGGCAAAAGGAAGACCTTTCTCTCTGTCTCTCTCTCTCTCACTGTCCACTCTGCCTGTCAGGAAAAAAAAAATAATAATTCATACATTCTAGGTCTGCACCGCGGCTCACTAGGCTAATCCTCTGCCTGCAGCGCTGGCACCCCAGGTTCTAGTCCCTGTTGGGATGCTGGATTCTGTCCCAGTTGCCCCTCTTCCAGGCCAGCTCTCTGCTGTGGCCCGGGAGTGCAGTGGAGGATGCCCCAAGTCCTTGGGCCCTGCACCTGCATGGGAGACCAGAAGAAGCACCTGGCTCCTGGCTTCAGGCTGTAGCGGCCATTTGGGGGGTGAACCAATGGCAAAAGGAAGACCTTTCTCTCTGTCTCTTTCTCTCTCACTGTCTAACTCTGCCTGTCAAAAAAAAAAAATTCATACATTCTGTAGTAATTTTTGATGTTAAAATTAAGAAAAAAATCACAAAGGGCCTCATAAAGGTTTATCCATATTCTCTTTTATTCTCCACATAAAAAAGGGAGGAAAAGAGAAAATTAATATCTTACTAAAATTTTTCCTATCATTCTCAGTGTAAATATTTCTGCCACTTATAAAATCATAAAGTTTCAGCACACTCTTTCAGGACTTGTTTATTATATTATAGTTATGTCTATTTCTGTCTTTTCCATTAAACAGTAAACTCATGTCTCATCCAGTTTAATTTTACTTGTGTTCATGCATTTCAAAAATTTTTGCACAAAATAAACATCTCTTTACTCAATTTATCGTGAACTTTTAAAGTGCCATAGTATTCTTCAGATTTTCTCTTATAATAAACATCTACACATATAAACAGGGGTTTCTTTTAAACTAAATTAGACAAATCAAATGCATAGCACAAAGTGAGAACTACCAAATTATCTTGCTATTAATTTCCATGAAAGCGCATTTTAAAAGGAGCAAATTGTTTTGTTTTGTTTTTTAACCTCCGTTCAGTCTAAGCAGTTGTTCTCTTTCCTAACCATCTGTGTTTCCTCTCTCAGGAAACGGAGTGAGTAGAGCTGGCGTTGTGGGACTAAGGAGTTAGTTGGCCTGAAGTCTTTTTTGTTGATGGTTTCAGTCCACTAGGGGGCACTCTAGTCTTCACTAGAAGTGGTCCTTGAGGTTTGAGCAGTTAAGAGAGGACAGACAACATGGGAGCAGTCAAATCACAGATATCAAAGGGAGTGGGAGGCATGTTTATGTGAAATTCATCTCAGGTTTTCAGCTCTGTTCTATGTAAGAACTTAGAAAGCTGGAGGCCATGTGTCTAAATTCATTGCGAAGAAGACTCTCTGAAGAGAGGGAAGGGGATTGGAATTTTACTTGGCATCACAAGCATGAATGCTCAGTAGAAAACAGCTCCATTGTCTTGTTTTTGGTTTTAATTTTTATAAATAAAATTTCACAAACTTACTGACCTGAAACTTACTCCTGTGCCACTGATATCTGATCTTTTTCATATATTCCCTTTGAAACTAGAAAGAAAAAGAATAGAAGAAGAAGAAAAAAATAAGAAACAATAAATAGAAGAAAAGGAAGAGGACACAATTGAACCAGGCCAACACGTATGTTCTCATGAGAATCACCTATGCTGATGGCAGGGTGATTGTGGCAATTGTTGGACAGATGAAGGGGAGAAGTAGAAATTAAATCAGTGCAGACATCACATTTTTTTTAAATAACAAAGCAAATTCTTGAGAAAATCATTTACTCTGCAGATAGTGACCGTATATCATGAGTTTATAGACTTTTCCTGAAGTCAAGAGATTGCATGTGGGGCAAGTGGTTGGCCCGGCAGTTAAGATGTCTGCCCACATACCAGAACACCCACTTGGGCTCTTAATTTAACTTCCTACTAGTGCAGATGTGGGAGGTTGCAGTGATAGCTTAAGTCACTGAGTTCCTGCCGCCCATGAGGAATTTTATTCCTGGCTCCCAGCTTCAGACCAGCCCAACCTGCTGCAGCCATTGAGGCATCTTGGGAGCGAGCTAGTGGATCAGACCTCTCTATCTCTGTTGTTCAAATGAATAAACAAAAATTAATAAAATAAATTGCACTGACTTCACGAGTATTCTATACAAACCATTAAATATTATCAAATGAATGTTATTTTCATATTATTGAATTCTCAAAGTCTGTCAAAGTGTGTGATTCGATACATGGAGTTGTTCTTTCTATGATTGTTCAAAGCTCTGCTTATCCCAGCTGTTCACTAAAGTATCATTTCTCTTCTTTTTTTAAAAACAGATTTATTATTTTATTTGAAAGAGTTACATAAAGAAAGGATGGCAAAGAATAAGAAAGAGATACACAGACATATAAAAACGGAGAGAGAGAGAGAGAATCTTCCCTCTTGATGCACTCTCCAAATGGCCACAATGGCTGAGCCTGGACCAGATTGAAACCCAGGAGCCAAGAACTCCATCTGAGTCTCCCATGTTGGTGGCAGAGACCCAAGGACTTGGGCCATCATCTGCTGCTTTCTCAGGTGTATTAACAAGGAACTAGATCAGAAACAGAGCAGCCAAGACTTGAATTGGCACTCCAACACACAATGCCAACATTGTAGCTGGTAACTTAACCCACTGTGCCACGACACCAGCCCCTCATCCCTATTCTTCACACACTTCTCCACCAACTTCTCCTTCATAAAGTGTTTAAGAAAAATAACTATTGTGTCTTCACACTTTGGAAATATCACCTCCTCCCTACTGCATGGTTCCCACCCACAGCATTGGAGCTGGTACTGTGTAATCTCACTGGGCCACAGTGGGTGGAGTTTCTTGCTAAGATGAGTGACAGAGCTCAGATGTGACTGGTGCTCCCTGAGTCTCATCATAACTTTGACTGTAAGAACAAAGTTTGGACCCAACAGCTAACACCCCACAGAGTGGGTGAGGGAACACCAGCACTCAGGCCGGGAGCCATGAAGAGACTGGCAGCTCTGCTGGGGCTTCTGTGGGGCCGGCTGTGCTGTGAGTTGAAATTTTCTCAGATGGGGGATAGGGAGAGTTCCACAGCTGACTCAAGGCTCCGACAATGGCCTATTTCCTCATGAGTGTTCTTTGGGATATTTTTACAGGTTTGCAGGCTGTATCAGTGATTTCCCAGGGACATGATATGTGTTTTCTTTTTCTGTCTGTGCAGGGGTGAGGGGGCTGCAGGTTCAGCAGAGTCCTTCAGCCCTGCGTGTCCAGGAGGGAGCCAGCCCTACCCTGAGGTGCAATTTCTCCACCACAGTGAACAATGTGCAGTGGTTCCGACAGAATCCTGGGAGCGGCCTCGTCAATCTGTTCTTCATAGCTTCAGGGACAAAGCAGAATGGAAGGTTGAAGGCAACAGTTAGTTCCCAGGAGCGCTACAGCACCCTCCACGTCACGACCTCCCAACTGGAAGACTCCGGCACCTACCTCTGTGCAGCAGAGACACAGTGCTCCCAGGGCGTCTGCTGCCTGGACCCAAACTGCAGCTGGGCCTGCAGCTGTAACCCCGCCCATCTCCCAGGGAGGCACGTGGCTTCTGCATAGCATTTGCACTGCTTTGTGCTTTCTGCTTGATGTTGGAGCACTTTTATCTCTGCTAACCTAGATGTTTCAGGACTGTCATTTCACTCAGTTTTCATACTCCTTTTCTCCCGGAAATCACTACACAGGAAAGAACTCCAACAAAGAACCCTTGGAGCAACTGATAAAGTTGTTACGACCTAAATGGATTGTCACACAGATGTCCTGGCAGAGTACATGTGAGTTACATGCAAATTACTGAGATGAAAAAGAGCTGAAAAAATAGACACTGGTCAACAAATAGAAAAGAAGTGACTCAATGTTTCAGTCACTTGTCAGTAGTTCAAGATTTCCATGAAAACAAATCTCTGTCATCTATCTATCCATCCATGCATCCATCCATCCATTTATTCTCTCTCTCCTTCCCTCTCCTTCTCTCTGTCTTCCTCTCTCTCTCAGATTTTTCATCCCAGAAACATACATTACCAATAATTAGTGTCATTGTATAACAGGCACTGGATGTAGGCTATTAGATTTCTTACATAAGTGGTGATCATACCTCCCCATTTCACACACTGATACAAGGGATGCTAGGACATAAGTAACCGACCTGAGCTCACATGCTCACTAAACTAGGGAAGTGGGGGTTGGATTACAAATCAGGAAGTCTGACATCAGAGCATGTTCCCTGAGCTACCCACTATAGAAGACTCTAGAATCACAAAGTATAAATGATTTCTACTGACACATTTATACAAAGTGCTTATATATGACATTGACAAAGATGTCTGTTTTGGTCATTTCTTTTTTTTTCAGAGATTTATTTATTTATTTGAAAGTCAGAGTTACACAGAGAGAGGAGAGGCAGAGAGAGAGAGAAAGAGAGAGAGAGGTCTTCCATCTGCTGGTTCACTCCCCAATTGGCCACAATGGCCGGAGCTGTGCCGATCCGAAGCCAGGAGCCAGGAGCTTCTTCTGGGTTTCCCACGTGGGTGCAGGGACCCAAGGGCTTAGGCCATCTTCTACTGCTTTCCCAGGCCATAGCAGAGGGCTGGATGGGAAGAGAAGCACCCATATGGGATGCCTGAGCTTCAAGCCAGGGTGTTAACCCGCTGCACCACAGCGTCAGCCCCATTGGTCATTTCTTGTAATAGTACCCTGTAAGGAAAAGCCCATTTTCATTTTGTTGCCTTTTTTTAAGGTTTTATTTATTTATTAGGTAGTTACAGACAGTGAGAGGCAGAGACAGAGAGAAAGGTCTTCCTTCCATTGGTTCACTTCCTAAATGGCCACAACGGCCAGAGCTGCGAAAATCCGAAGCCAGGAGCCAGGTGCTTTTTCCAGGTCTCCCACGTGGGTGCAGGGGCCCAAGAGCTTGGGCCATCTTCTACTGCTTTCCCAGGCCATAGCAGAGAGCTGGATGGGAAGAGGAGCACCGGGACTAGAAGGATTAACCTACTGCACCATAGTGCTGGCCCCCATTTTGTTGCCTTAAAATCCATTTGTCTTTCTTGCATTTTGAATGAATCTATTTACACATGATTTTATAACATGATTCAAGGCCTGAGAAATGGGTCAGAAAGTTTCCATGGTCACTCTAAAAGAAACCCTTACCTTCTGCAGCTACTAATCAAGACTCTGACAACCAAACCCAGTCTAAACTTGCGGTGGATAAATGACAGCATGAAAAATTCTGATCTTTCCAAGTGTTTCATGTCAAAACATAAACATAGGGGCACTGACTAGGAAGGAGCAGAATCCTCAGCATTAAGGTGAAACCCCATGAGCAGATTCCAGTGAAGCCAAGAGCAGGGCTGGCTCCCTGTACTCAGGCTGCCTGGGCACGAGACCTGTGCAGTGGTAAGGGGCTCTGCTTTGAAAGAGCATAGTGCTTGGTTAATACTATTGCTATCTTGAAATTCGTAATCATTTCATCTTTTAATTTCCGGTTTGTAAGTGAAGTTAAATAAGCAAATGGAGCATGGGCATGAGCAGAGATGTTTGGAGGACAGAGGACAAAAGACAAGACCATATGCAGGCACAGTGAATTCTTCAAAAAGTTTGGTAACTCTGGCTTCAAAGGTTGATGTAACATTGCAAAGTGAATACCTATAGGCTTAGAAATAGAAATTAAATGTAAGGATTGTACCTTGATGAAAAAGGAAATTATATGTGAAGTTTTGAATGAACTACTATCATTAACATCAGAGATAATTTTAAAATTAATCTTCCCTTTATATTGAATAAACTATTATAGATGGCACAAGCACACATTGTGAATTATACACCGATTGTGAACAACTTCCAGTTTCTTTTTATTTTTTAAAGATTTATGTATTTGAAAGCCAAAGTTACACAGAGAGAGAAGTAGAGGCAGAGAGAGAGAGAGGTCTTCCATATGCTGGTTCACTCCACAAATGACCACAATAGCCAGAGATGAGCTGATCTGAAGCCAGGAGCCAGGAGCCAGGAGCTTCTTCCAGGTCATCCATGTGGGTGCAGGAGCCCAAAGACTTGGGCCATCGTCTACTGCTTTCCCAGGCCATAGCGGAGAGCTGGATTGGAAGTGGAGCTGCTGAGACTTGAACTGGTGCCCTTATGGGATGCAGACGCTGCAGGCTGGGGCCTTAACCCGCTACGTCACAGTGCTGGCTCCTCACTTCCAGTTTCTTATGAGACCCTAGACATTACAGAAAATGTCAGACAACATTAAAATGTGGCTATATACATTTATGTTTAAAATTAAGTTTAGATTTACATGAAATTGTGTTGTATGAAGGGTTTAATGGTTTTAGAAAAATTGTTGCACTAGATATATTAACCTATTATATTTAACACTGATTCATTAAGTATTTGTGCTAATGTTTTTACAATATATAAAATACCCCCAAGAGTTCTAGTATCATTTGTATCAGGAGAATTATCCTTTGCAAAATTAGAAGTGATGAAAAATTCTGTTTTCAATGTCTCATTGCTTTCAATTATTGTACTTGAAAATGAAGTTGCTGAAAGAATCAATTTTGATAAGCAAATAAATATTACTATTATTAAAGACACAAATAGTATTACTACATTATATAACTTATGACAGTAACATATTTTTGCTTTTGTAAATTTTTGTTGTTAATTATATATCATTACTGGGGCCAGTGCTGTGGTGGAGTGGGTTAAAGCCCTAGCCTGCAGTGCCGGCATCCCATATGGGTGCTGGTTCTAATCCCGGCTGCTCCTCTTCTGATACAGCTCTCTGCTATGGCCTGGGGAAGCAGTACAAGATGGCCCAAGTCCTTGGGCTCCTGCACCCACGTGGGAGACCCGGAAGAAGCTCCTGGCTCTTGGCTTCGGATCTGTGCAGCTCCAGCCGTTGCGGCCATCTGGGGAGTGAACCAGCAGATGGAAGACCTCTCTCTCTGTCTCTACCTCTCTCTATAACTGTCTTTCAAATAAATAAAATAAATCTTTTAAAAATTATATATCATTACAACCCCTCCTGTGGTTTAAAAGTAATAAAATACTTTCAAACTAGGGCTTTGCAATTTTATTGCCTAACAGCACTCTTTTCCTCATTTGAACACAGAATCCTTAATTTTCATTTTGCACTGATCCCATAAATTATGTAGCCAGCATGGGTGGGAATCTTGAACGTGTAAGCTAAACTTGGAAGGAGAGAGCTGAACACCAGAAAGCAAACATTTTGTTTGGGAAAGTGCCTTTTTTTTTTTTTTCATACCAGAAAATTCATCTACTTCTTTCTGGTTCATTCTAAAAGTTACTGAGTTGATTTTCTCTTACCAAAAATATGATATGCCCACATCCTGTGGGTTTTCCTGTGATCAAATTCCACCTCCATTTCCAATCCAGCTTCCTGCTAATGAGCACTTTGGGGGACACAGATGAAGGCTCCAGTACTTGAATCCCTGCCGCCCATATTGGAAACCTGGATGGAGTTCTTGGCTCCTGGCATTGGCCTGGCCTCAGCTGTTGTGGGTATCTGAGGGAGTGAACCAATAGCTGGACTCTCTTTCTCTCTCTCTCTCTGTCTCTCCCCCCCGCCCCGCCCCCAATCTGTCTTGCTCTTGCTATGATTTTCAAATAAATACATAACTCTAAGAAAAAAGAAAGAAATCTTCATAAAGTTGTATTTCGCTGACCCATGGCTTGGCATGGAGCCCACTCCCATATCACTATCTGTGATGGCCTGGCCAATTTTATTTCATTTTCCTATGATTTGTGGTGTCCTTCATCCATCATCCATCACTGTTGCTGTAGGAGGTTTGAAAACCCAGATAGGAACATATCCTGAGGATCCAATCTCTGTTTCTGAAGAACCCTAGGGTTAATTAGGGGTGATCACAGACACATTATATTGCATATGGCTGTGTAAACAGACTTGGAGCTTCATGATGAAGGACAATTTCTCCCCACTTTCACACCACTCTACATTACACATGGCCAGTACTCAATAAATATTTGCTCTGCTAAATAAAATAAATAAATTTAGAGATGGAAGAGCCCTAAGATCTTTTAGTCTAACCTCATTTTACAAAAGCAGAATTATATTCAAGGTACCAGTATGAAGGAAATAGATAATAAATGATTTGGGAGTAGAAAGAAACTGGACTCCCTCATTTCATCACTTACATTCTTTCTCTTGCCTCTTTCCTACAGGATAATATTGTTGAGCAAAGACAAATTGCTTAAGGGAAGCCCAGACACTTTGAGCTCTGTGGTTTTGATCTGGGAATGTCTTGGTCCAATCAGTTTGGCCATCAGAATGGAAGGTCCTAATTTTGGAGAATGTTTGACACTTCGGGGAGGAAAGGATATTCTGGCTGATCTACTGTTACTCTACCAGAAACTCAGTCCATCACTCATTGGCTTCTGTAGAAGTAAGCCAAAGTGATGGGGTCAAAGTCAACACTCAGATGATTTCTAAGGACCTTCCTAAAAATGGCAATGTGTGTGCATTATTTCAGGTAGCCACCCTTGATGGAAGGTAGTGAACATAATGAACACGATTCATACATTGTTAGCAAAAATGGTCATTGAATTTGGGAGTTGACAGGGGAACATTGTTCCCATAAAGCTGACAGTACACGAGGGACCTAGATAACTTGTCCTGGGGCAACCCTCTGATGGTGAGTGAGGCAATAATCACTGAGATGA